GATTCATGAGAAGTTTCCATTGTTCTTATTTACTTGTGGTTAATTAATCTCACTTGGGTGGAAGTAAACATATTCTAAGGATCTTGGCTAGCAAAACAATGCTGCAAGTATCTTTTAATAGGAAGTAGGTTCCATAAATAGGTACTAGCAATGAATCCGTGCAGAGAAAGTTTCGTGGACCCCATTGAAAGATATATTATGGCTGAATTTTCTATTGTAAAGCTATATTATTATTATAAATATCATTCTTATAGTATCAGTTTCAGTTGGTATTTACTTATTAAGTATATAATATATTATTGATATGAGTGTTGATAAAATGTTTTTTAAGAATTTATGCTATGATCTAAAAATGGTGATCATAAATAAACTCTTAAAGAAAAATGATAGCTTTGATTTCAATAATATTCCCTAAGTTTATTTTTACTACTAACCATCAAATCAAGAAAATCAAGATGGAAAGATTTTCAATCAAAATGTAGTATTCCTTTTGCTTTGTTTGTTTAGTTCCCTAAAAGTCAAGCCTAATGTTTTGTTTTTAATAGTTTATCACATTTATTTTCTAATAATATTATTCATCACGTATGATTCGCTTTGAAACTGCACTTACACAGGGAGAAAAACGAGGCAAATCCGAAGATTGATGATTGATGTGCGACGAGCGAGCAATTTACAAGATCGTTTGCGCCGCGTCGGTCAAGAGTTTTGCAATCGAGCGCCACACGATACGGAATACAATCGAATAAATCAATTGAAGCGTTCGCAGCGCGCTTTTCGCTTTTCGAATTTGTCAAACGGCCAATAAAGAAGCACAAAAAAATTAAGTTATTCAAAAATTGAAATCGCTGGCCGCTGAGCGGGGAGCCGATGCCAATAAAATTTATAATAAATATGCCCCCGCCAAAAGAAATACGTCAGCCTCGAAGAGAAGGCAATGTATATGCGCAACAACAATGAGATCGTTTGTAAACAATTAAAATAATTTGCTGGACGACCAAAACAACAAAATTTCAATTAAGAAAGAGAAAGAGAAAGCTTTGTAAGAGTAATGAAAAATAGCAAAGAGCTAGTTAAGAGAGTGGCTAAATAAAAGAGGGAATAGCAACCAAGATAGTTTATTTATAAAAAAGAGTACATTCCTTAAGTGAATTCTTTGAATTGCTTACACTGGCTGTACTATATATATATTTAATAAAATTGGAGCAAATTAAAAGACAGCTGTGGAAAAATGTAGCACAGCAAACAGCTGACACAAAATGAGAGAAAAATAGACAAAAGAGAACGAAAAGGCAGTTCAAGACAACACGCATACGCAATGTTGTACCGCGAAAAACATTTTCCCAATTTCACCCACACCGATATTGAATTTTTAAGAAGAAAACATGTTGTTTTGAACTACTCATTTCGCCAAAATTATAAATTATACATAAATAGAAACGTATTATTTTTAAACGACCGAGGTTTGTCATCATTAAATGTTTTAAAGTGATTTCTAAAAATTTGTTATTGGAATTCAGTTTATCAATATCAAAATTAGACATATTTAACAGCTCTTAAAATATATAAGTAATATTAATGAATAATCCAATAATTTTTTTATGATATTAATATGAGACTTGTTCTTCATTTAATTTACTACCTAGAAATACTCAGTATATGGTTTCCCTGTCTTAAAATTCTGAAACGTGCTGTATATTTGCCAAATTCCCAGGAATCGTGTGTATGGTTTGACATTTTGATGGATTTCACTCTGACATTTCTCATGTTCGCCATGTTAAATGCGCTTTTTGCCGCCCCTCTTCATTTTTAAAATTTGTGTCGCCGGTGTTTTTAGTTTTATTCGGTTTTTCGCTTATCGCGATCAGTCGACCGTACGAATTTGTGCCAAAAAATATGCGATATATGTGGGTGCACCACCAACTGAAACCTGGGGCACCACCAGTAGTAAACCACCGAAACCGAAACCGTCGAAACCACCGACTCGATGGCGCTGGCACGCACGTTTTACGAGCCTCGCTTTTTGGCCACTTACAGCGCATAAATACAAAGTTGTTGACAAGCGCATAAAGACCTCGATGAGATCGTTAAATCGCTGAATTTTCATAGACCCCAGAGCGACAATGAATATGGCCAACAATTAAAATTTAGTTCAATTGTTTTCATTTGTCAGAAGTCTGTCGTCGGCACATCGCTTGCAACCTGTTGCATTTGCATTTAAAAAGACCCCAATTTATATCTATATCCCCATTCGAAACATCTGGGTATGGTTTTTCATGGGTTCTTCAGGTGCTTTCGATGGCATTTGCTGGCGAGGAATTCAAACAGATGGCATAAACGAGAAATGCAAATGAACAGGCAAATGATAAGCGGGCTAAGAATTTGGCACAGAGAAAGTCAGGTGTTCAGTTGGGGAAATAGTTTGAATTAATGGCGGATAAATGCATTGGCTTATTGACATTATTGGGATGGGTAATACACTTTCTTGTTTTGTCTATTCATTAAAATTAAAAGCCTGTAAATTAAATTCTTTTGAATTCAATGAGTTCCTTATCACCTTGTACGAATTTATATATATTTTTAAATTGATTTAAAAGTTCCAGTTTTTAATTTAATTCGTACAGTCGAAATTCATTTTATTAAAATAAATTCCTGAAGAAAAATATGTTCTGCACTTTCAAACCTCAGTTATTTGCTTTATTTTCAAGTCACATAAATCGTAAAAATCTTAATTGAATTTGCATAAATTCCTTCCAAAAATAGCCCAAATTTATTCACGTTTTTTACAGTATTCACACCGATATGACGGATTACCCTACGGATTGCTCTCCATAAAAAGCCCACTTTATTCCCGAACGAGTCGTGTGCCAAGCCAACACCGCGATACAATAACTTATGCGATTCGTACCAAAACACAAAATAACCAAGAAATAAAAGCAGTGAAATGCAATAAAATAAATCTATGCATCAACAACAATTTCCAGTGTGTGTGTGTTTGCTGTGTGTATACATTTGTGGGGCAGTGTGTGGAATATTAATTAAAGTTGCCAGCTTTGATTTCTTCCCAACGACTGGGATTCAGGCGGACAAGTGTTTTGCGTTGTAAAAACAAGCGAAAGCAAAACACCAGCAGCCTCGGGAAGAATAAGCAGACACTGAGAGAAAATATAGGGAACAACCTATAAACAAAATTATGGGAATAGAAGATTAGTTATAGACAAAAGTTACATCTATTAAATATTTTTTTAAATGTATAGTATTATAAAAAATGTATTTAGGTTCTAAAGAAAAATTTACCAAATATTGAACCAATTTATAAATAAGCTTTATAAGCTTGTCTTAAAAAAATTCTTTACTATTTTCTAAATTTAACTATATTTTATTGAAATGAAGATTTCTTTTTCTTTTCTAAATGATGTAAAGTTCTACATTTCAAAAAGCTGATCGAATAACTCTAATACCAAAAATGTATCTCATTTTAAAAAAGGTACATGGGTACATTATTTCTTGAAATTTGATATTTTTTTTTCGATATAACACTTTTACATATTTTTTTAAATCTTAATGTGATTTGCAGTGCATCTCGCACAAGCGATGAAATTCAAATTCGAATTAAACGCATTCCAGAGAAGAGCAGGCATGCAAAACGCGTAGCCCCAAGATCAGCATCGCGATTAAAAGGGGCAGGAATGGAGGGATCTCGCAGATTGCATAAATGGCAACCATTTGCAACAGCATTTAGCAGGCAGCATTATGAAGCCCTCCTTTGCATTTAAGACACGCATCTTGCATATTTCGCCTTGATGTTGATCGACAGTTTGACATTTTATGTCGTCGCCGCCTGTCAGAAGAACGGCGGTTACTTTTTTCTTGTGCACTTTGTGGATTTTTGCAATCCCATTTATTTGTGTCATTATCCTAATTGTTAAATAAAAAACCCGGGGATTGTAAATATTATAAGAGATACTAAAAAAATTAAAGATATTAATTATTTTTATGTTTTATTATTTAATATTACATTTTAAATTTTAAAATATTTATCAAAAAATCAGAATCATGATTATTTGCAATCCCTTTAAAAAAAGATCCCTATCCATAGAAAACTCACCCAATCTGACCGCTAGGTGGCGCACCAATCTTGTTGATCCAATCTCGATTGTTTCCCTTTTCCAGAGCATAACACACAAACAGAAACACGAAAGCACACAAATGGTAAACAAATGCGGAATTCCAGTCACGAGCACTTTCCTCGATTTTTTCAGTTTTCAGTTTCAGTTTTTCCGCTGCACTCGCACCGTCCGAAATGCGGCGTATAAATATATATCCATGTGTATATGTGTATTTTCGGGGAGGCTATGGCCAACCGATCCGATCCACGAACGAAAATTAAATAGCTGCCCGTTTGCTGTTTGCTTTTCTGCCTTTTCTGCCCAGCGGACCAAAGAGAAGCCGAGCGGATCGCTTTGGATCGCAGAGCAATAAAAATAAAAGCAGAGCAATCGAAAAAGCAACAAAAACAGCACTTGGGGAGGGGGTGGAAAAAGTTTGGCGCGCTTTGGCGCTCGTTTGCATATGTGTGTGTACATTAGTGCTCTTTAAATCGAAGGGAAAGAGAAAGAGACGAATAAAAGAGAACACTGACCACTCTCTTAAGGGAAAATAGTTAGGATCGGAAATTATATTATAAATTAGTAAAAAATATGGTTTTGTTATAACAGTTATAAATATTCCTAAAATATGTATTTATCATAAAAGTTTTATGTGTATATGTTTTTTTTTGAATTAGATTTATATAATTCTTAAAAAATATATTTTTATTTGCTAGTTTTTGTGTAAGAGCTTCTTACTAAGAACTATGCCTAAGAACCAACATAGCGTATGAGTAATTACATATACCCGAAAATTAAAAACTAAAATGGTATGTTGTGCCATTCACATTAGTATGAGCGTACGCTATTTTAAATGTTAGTTCTTTCTGCAAAAAACACCTGAGCAAACCTTGATCTTGAAATTGGCTTTGCCGTAACCACATTTCTTTGACTTATAAGACTATGATTTAGTCACATTTTTTCAATCGTCTTGGAGTGAATGTGCAAAATGGTGTCTTTAAAGTATATCTTGCTATTCCTGTGTTTGTACTATTTCCTGGATGATGTTGCGGCTGTGACCTGTGATGTATCCCCCACGGATGCCTCATGTATCGACTGTCGAGTGTATCCCACCCATATAGAGTGTTTGCACAAACTTTTCGCACCAGTAACAACTGCAGCCCCGCTCACAACTTCAACCACCAGAAGATCCCGAATCGGCAGAATACGCAACTTTTTCAGTAACTTCATTACGCGTGTCAGAAGTAAAGTTGGTTCTAAGCACTAAGCAAACAAATGTCCAGATTATAACAAAATCTAAAATAAACATTATATTTTGAAGAATTTTAATATAATTTTTAGGTTGTATTATTTAATAGAGGATTTCATATTTTACTAAGCAACAAAGATAGCTAAGAATCTATTTTCCCAATCCAAAACAGTTGAACTAACTTTATTCTGTTGGTTCGGTAATCCGAGGATTGTATTTTACTTGGGTATATAGTATCGGTTGTCCAGATCTTAATAGATTGGTACATAAGTTTGCCATCCTAGGTTTGCTAGGACTTGGTTTTGGTAATCTTATGAAAGTAGTATTACCGATATCTCTCATTTAATATGGTTCATAAAAAATACGCCGATAAGTATGCAATGGTTTTCCCTGTATTGTTAACTAATAGCTATAGTAAACCAGATTATATTTTGAATTTTCGTCTCATTTATTTTATTGCATTATGTATTTAACCAGATTTGTTAACCTTAATTCTCCTCACAACTGTGTACCGCATGTTTGTCATTGTAACTTTCTTTTTGTTAACCGATTTTTTCGTTGTGGCAGCTTTTGCTATTGAAGCTGTTACTGTGGTTGTTGCAGTTGGAGCCACCGTGGTTGTGGTTGTAGTTGTGGTTGTGGTTGTAGTTGTAGTTGTGGTGCATTCAGCGTTGGTGGTGTCGGTGGTGCAGTCGATGCAATTGGCATCCGTGGGATCATCCGCGCAGGTGACAGCCAAAGCTCCACTCAAAAAGCAGAAAATCGCTGCGATCAGGATAAGATATTTTGATGCCAGCATAATAATCTCTTCAATTGGTCTACCAATTCTTAGGCCCAACGGAAGTTCAGTTTGTTTTATCAGTTGTTTAAATTTTTAGCAAGCGCAAAAATTGGCAAAATTCTCCGATCAAATTGTTGACTAACTTTTTGTAGAATCATAATGGTTGATTTGAAACCAACAGATGCTGCAATAAAAAAAACATGGAGTCAACAAAGCAGAAGAAAAAAGTTCCAAATTGTTCAAATTTAATACGCACCACCTTTATTTTGATGTTTATTTTTATAAAATAAAATCGACAAACAATTTACCATTTTTTTATTAGGAAAAAAATTATTGTTTGTTAATAAATAAGCTGTTGTCAATAATATTTAGCCAAAAGAGACTGAACGAAATACAAAATCTAGCAAATCAATAGCTTAAACAATTTTAATTAAAAAATATTAACATCGTATCAGTTTAATATTTTATGAAATCGTTTTTTTTAACTTTACTGTGGTTTAAAGCAAAGAGAAAGTTTTCAAAATATCAATTTTTTAATAAATATAGCTTATGAAATTGTTTAATTAACACTTTGGAACTTAAATATTGACACTTAGTTTCAAGTAGTGTCAAATAATTTATACTACATAGGGGTAAATATAACATATAAATGTTTCTTGATAAATAGGAGTCATAAATTTCCAATTAAAGTTGCTTTTATTTAAAAGACTATTGGCGCCAATTTTACAACACTGTTTGCCGTTAACAGGGAACTATTTCAGGCGATGTGGCAACGCCGTCGCGCACCAAGTGGCAACCCTGGTCGGGCCAGTGCGAATAGCGCGCGAAGAAGAACAAGAAGAGGCCGACGAAATGGCAATTCCTCTTTCTCCGGTCGTTCATGGGCATTTTGCGAGAAAACTTATCGCTGCATTTAAAAACCAATTAAACGAAGAATGCGAACGGCATAAGGATTGGATTTAAGGTAAAATAACGCACCACCAACGCTCGGTGATCCCCAGACCTATTTAACCTCAAAATGACACCGAGAACCTCGGCGAAATTTAAAATAAAATAATCCAAAGTGTCGCCTGTGCAAGAATTTCGGGCGTGTGATGTGTGATGTAATCGTCTGGCCGCAAACGCGATGGCCGTCTGTCGCAAGTTTTGATAAAATTCAATTAGCAAGCAGCTTGTTTACGTTTACGCCGAGCTTGTCGTCTGGAATATAAATAAAACGCCGACTTAACCTCATTTATGGTCCAAATTGGTGTTTATAAGTTGGAATATTTCGCATTGAAAAAAGCTTGGACATGAACAAAGCCCGCAGAATGGGCGAGTGCCGGGAGTGCGAGCGAGACGACTAGTGTGTGCAGCGGTTGGAAGTCAGTGATGTGCATTTTGCAAGCCAAAAAAAAGATAAATCAGAAGAGTTAAGCAAATAATTTATCTTTCAAGAGAAAATAATGACGATATTGATATCCAAAAACAACAAGCGAAAAAAAATATTTTTATTTTGACTTATTGATCAGCTTGCATGTTTTGGATTGTATTATTGCGAAACAAAAAAAAAAGAAATTACGTTATATATATTTTTTTTTAAGTTACATTTCCTATAACAAGCAATAATTAAAGGTAAAGAAGAAAACATAGTAGGGAATAAATATGTTAGCAAGTTTTTTTTATAAAGGTCTGTTCTAAGATTGGTAAAATTTAAAATTTAAAAAATAATAGCTAAATGTAGCCGAGAACATTTTTACCATCACTGTTGGAATCCGCAAAAAGGCTGCCACTTCTTAAAAATATAAACAATATCTTAAATTAGCCAGTATGAGCAACAGTTATGTTTTGAACAGCAGCTAAGTTTGTGTTTTTAGTTTGTATTTGTATCTTACCCGCCTAGCTAGCTGTTTTTCGTTTAAATGCAACGCTTTATTGCACTCCGAACCAACCAACATCTGGCAACGCCGTAGTCGCTCTCTGCCTCTCCCACCGTCTTCGGTCATTCGGAGCACATGTGCCACCAATTGTTGCGCACTCCGGTTATTTTTGTGCAACCTATTTGTTTATGCCTGCCGCGGACTGAGAAAACTTCGTTTTTTTGCAGGGCTAGCGAGTGATGAACAACCAGCGATATGGCGGAATCCAGTGGATACAGCACCACGTCTCCGCGGGCGACTCCTCCGAGGTGGACATCCTGGAGTCGGACGGTGGAGCGGGGGCAACGGGCGAGGATCTGGACCATATGGCAGCCGAGAATCTGATCTTTATGGCGCGCGACGGCCAGCTGAGCGAGATAATGGCGGCCAACGAGGCGGGCGGAACGGTCCTGGTCACCGCCGATGGCACCACGGTGGCCTATGCGGAATCCTTCGACGACGATGCCCAAGTGGTCACCGAGGAGGTCATCACGGACGACTGGGTGCAGCACCAGGGCGCCGAGCGGTGAGTAGAGCCTCGTTCCTCCTTCCCTGAGGTCTTCCTGACCCATTTGTTTACCCTCCTCCCTCCTTGCAGTGTGGAAATCGCAGCCGAGCAGATAGCTGGGATCAGTAGCTCACAGGAACTGCTGGACATGGAGCAGGATCAGTATACTACCCTGAGGCCCTATCCCTGCGACTTTTGCAGCCGTCGCTTTCGGAAGAAGGCCACATTGAACAACCACATGCTGGCCCACCAAAATGACCGACCACATCTCTGCAAGCTGTGTGGTGCGCGGTTCTCTCGTCGGGCCGAGCTCATCAGTCACTTTAAGGCCCACGCAGAGGCCCAAGACGCAGCCGATGCTGAGGCAGCGGCCGCCGCAGCCGATTCCTCTTCCGCCATCAAATTTGAGCATCAGTCGCAGCGACAACTGGACGATCACTATTACGAGCAGGACTGGCCACTCTACCAGCAGCACCAGCAGCAGCAGGAACAGGAGCAGGCGCAGCAGGAGATGCAGCAACATCATCAGATCGTGGATGAGAGCGAGGTTCAGCTGGTGTCTTGCTACCCGGCTACCGTGGTCCCACCTGCAGCTCCGTCGCGGGGCAGAATCAGTCGGCTGAAGCCCAAGGAGGAGAGCAGCCAGTTCATCGTGATTTCCGACAAGCCAGCGGTCACCGAGTTGAGGCAGTACATGGAGGCTGATGCGTCTCAGCCTGTGGTCACCACGTCGCAGCCCATTGCCGTCGACCCGCCTCCTCAACCAATCTTTCCGGTGCTGGACGACAGCAAACCCTTTGTTTGCCAGCAGTGTGGATTGGCCTTTGCGCGGGAAAAGGCACTCGTCTCACACACGAAGGTAATAGAGGATAGCTTTACCTGAAACTTGCTAAACCAGTTTATTGCCAAAATCATCCACTAATTATTTTCTTTGTTCTTCACTAGAACCACCGCGTGGACTCGCCCTTCGAGTGCAACCAGTGCCAGGAAATGTTCTGGGACAACAACAGCCTACAGGAACACCAGAAGACGCATCAGTTCGAGGAGAGTAACTCGGAGTACGATCCTGCCTCGGCAGAGGATAGCGCCAGCGAATCGGAAAACGAGGAGCAGTTGTATGGCGAGTTCTATTGCTACGAATGCGGGATTTCTTTCCACCGCCAGGATCTGCTTCGACGCCATGCCAAGATGCACTACAAGCAAACGGATCAGGCAGCCGGCGAGAGCAATTCCGATGTCACTGCTGGCGGTGATGTGGAGATTGCAAAAGATTCTACGGGTCACTCTTGTACCACATGCGGAAAGTCCTTCCCCAGCGCTTTGGAGATGCTCGCCCATGCCGAGATCCACGCTCGGTTCCCGCCTTTCAAGTAAGTGTAGACTTATAGAGGAATATTGGGCAGATAGTTCGAATGGCTTGATTAATGTATCCTCTTTAATCGTAATATAAACATTATTTTAATCTTGTTCTCCTTATCAGGTGCGTCCTATGCGGAGTCAGCTTTTACGAGGAGCAGGCAATCAAGCGGCACCTGCACACCCGCCACCCCACTGAACTGAAGGCCAACTCATGTGTGCTGTGCGGCAAGGAGTGCCGCGATCGCAAGGCTCTGATTAAGCACGCCTGGGACCATTCGCGCGAGAAGTGCCATTCGTGCTCCAAATGCGGCAAGAACTTCCACAACAAGGCGCGCCTGAAGCGGCACATGGCCTCGCATCGCGACAAGTCTGTGGTGTGCGAGGTGTGCCAGGAGGAATTCCCCGACGGACGAACGCTCTCCAACCACCGGCACTCGCACAGCACCACCTCACCGGGCAAGCTGTTTCCGTGCCACGAGTGTGGCAAGACCTTTGGGTCACGTAGCTCCCAGCAGATCCACGTCCGCATTCACACTGGAGAGCGTCCATATGGCTGTCGCTACTGCTGGAAGGCCTTCGCTGATGGTGGCACGCTGCGCAAACACGAGCGGATCCACACGGGCGAGAAGCCCTACGCCTGTTCAGTGTGTCCGCGTGCCTTTAATCAACGGGTGGTGCTGCGGGAACACATCCGCTCCCATCATTCTGGTCTGGATGTGGCGCGAAATACCTACCACTGCACGGTCTGCTCCGAGGACCTGGCCTCGTCCAATGACCTCATCCAGCACCTTATCCAACACAGTGACTCGAACACCGCCAAACAGCGGCAACCCATTGTAAGTAAAATGTGGGCTAAAAATGGTTTTCCAACTAAAATATATTGTTTATTAGACGGGGCCGCGCAAGTACAAGCGTCGACGTAAACTGCAGCCGTTCGAGATTGCTCATATGCGTGCAGAGCACAACGAGGCAAACGGCGAAGAGGAGGAGGCCACTGGAGATGGTGAAGCCGAGGAGTATGCCAGTGACATCGACCTTTGCGACTTTGATGTGGAGAATGTGGACGATCTGTTTGACATGGCCGAGTCGCCCAAGAAGGAGAAGCGAAAGAGGGGAACGACAGCCCCGAAGGCTGATTCTAAACCCGTGACCAATGGCAAAGGGGTGAAAGCTGCCCAGGAAAAGAGCAAAGCCAAACCGAGATATGACTCCACCAGCAGTCAGCAATCAGATCGCATCTGGGAGGAGAAGTTTATGCAAGACAGCCAAGTGGCTCTCTTTCAAATCGATTCGCTGGTGGTGGTCAACGACACGCATTTGCAGCCCGCCACCTCCACTGGGTTAGCCGTACCCAACACAAGAGCTGGGGCCAAGCAGCAGGCAAAACTGCAGGCAAAGTCAGCAGAAGGAGCTGGATCTTTCAACAACTCCGCTGCCACATCTGTTTCCACATCGTCTGCCTCCACTTCTAGCAGTCGCAGCAGGAAGAAGGCAGCAACCAACAAGACTGCCAACAAAGCACCACCTGCCAGCAATTCGCGACCCCGAATGATTCACACAGAGAAGGCCAAGGTGACGAGGGGCGCTAGCGGAGACTCCTCTAGCAGTGCGGCTAAGAAGTCGCGCTCCAAGACCTACATTAGTCGCACGGAGACCAGTAATCTGAGCCTGGATAAGTCCCGCAGCAGTGCCTCAAACATGGTGGATGACTATGAGATAATTTCTCCAGCCACTCATCCACCGAATCAAATCAGCTCCAGCCCCTTGCATATAAAACAGGAACAGGAGCAACAGCAGCGGGTCCAGCTAATGTACGATGATAATCTGCTGATAGATGCTGCTTTACTTAGGGAGAAGACGTATGATCTGGAGCAGATTTTGCGCTCGCCACTGAAACACGAGAGGAATTCCCGTCTACGCTTTACCAGCGAATCTTCAATCACCCCACAGTTTTTGCCCGAGGAAGAGCAAAATCTGATCAAGATCGAGCCAACGTCTCCGGATTTGCGGGAGATGGTGGAGAGTCAGCAGAGGGTCACAGCTCATAGTGGGAGCACTCCGTCGTCGTCCTCCTCCTCTGCCAGAACTTCCAGACATCTGCGACAGATCACTGCCAATGGAACACGGGCAGGAAGCAAAAGATCTGCGGGAGATGTGGCCAGCAAATCGTCACCGGCTCCTGGTGCGGCGTCCAAAAAAGCTAACACTGCCACCAAGGTCAGCAGTAGCTCATCCTCCTACCTCAGTTATGGGGTGGATTCTTACAACGTAAACGTACCTGCCAGCGCCAACAATGCCGATGTGGGTGGTGGATTCTTTTCCATCTCGGAGGTCGTGTCAGCAGCCGACGCCGCGGATGCGGCTGCGAAGGCAGCGGCAGCTGGTAAATCGGAACGGAAAACCCGCAGCTTCGAGTGCGAAATGTGCTCGGCCATCTTTTATGATCGAGCCCAACTTCTGGAACATGTACACATCCACATTTAGATGGAAGCTACCCTAACCACTCGCCCGAAGACTTGTATTTTTGAAACATCTTATCCTAATATACACAAATAATCGGAGTAACTTACCTCATGGTATCGAGCATCGAAAAATATCGTTGATTTATGCGTTATTTAAAAACTGAACATAAATATATATTGTAGAGAGCATAGTTCGTAAGGCTTTTAAGTTTGTACCTCAGCTTTTGTTTTGAAGAATTGGTATGCTGGAATAAATACATCATTAAATGGTTTTTCATTGCCTTAAATTGTGTTGTCATGTAAAGATCTAATCTGAGATAGGAAGATGCTCCCAAGTTCCGTGATAAGATACGTTTATGTAATGTTTGATAGTTTTTGAAATCTGTATCAGAAAATCGCACCCTGTTATTATTGGTGACTTTCCTACGAATTTACGTGGCCAAAAAAAGATTGTCAACACAGTGCGTGCTCAATTCTCCGAAATGTGATCAATTATGTAACAATTTTCGTAGAATTTAGATTCTTTTCAATTATACAAGAGCCGTCATAATTTTCCACTTTCAAATTTAATTTATTTTTTTTTAAGTAAACATTACCTCAATGTAATTATAATTAATTGAGCTTTGTTATTAAATCGCTGTCATAGGCGCTAAACATGACAAATGGTTAGGCAAATAATTGCAACAAATCCATTTTTTATGTGATAGCTAAAATATAGAAATGACTTATGTCATTACATATACATAGGAACTTGTTTGTCTCAATTCATATCGACCTACCTCTTTAGAATATGCTCATAGTAACAATGATAAGAGGTGATTTTCCCGCAAACCAGATGTCTTGGTTCGCTTTGAAGCCATGATTATAAATATGTATATGAGTATACTAATAGTAAACGAATAGAGCCGAGTGTTGTTTGTTTTTTGGCTTATTTGCACAGCTTTTCAAACAAAACCCCCACTACTCTCTAAACTAAAGATTACTAGGTTCTGGGAGGTACCCATTTCTCCATTTGAAAAATCAATTAATTAACGCCTATGGGTTATATGACCCTAAAAAGAATAATTTTAAACGGCTTTGTCTGTTTTTAATTTAGCACAAATAGTATATAGTATAATGTAAATATATGCTAATTTAAACGGGATGACCTTTGAACAGAAACTATAAATATTTAGAGAAGAACCAATGAAAAAGCTTGACTTTTCAATACCCTAGTTTATTATATATAATTTAGTTATTTATTTATTTCTATATAATAATTTTATCTTGTATTCTTTTTTGAAAATGTAGAACATTGATAGTTGCGATCTCCAGCCTTATATACCCCTAATGCCATCTGGCCATTGTATTTTCCATTGTTGATCTCCCACGGAGATGGCAGGTATAAAATGGGCCACATCGCGGGTTGTTCATCAGTTTTCTCTCAATCGTCGAGCAATCAACATGACCGGAGTAAAATCGTTGTACTTCTTGGGCCTGGTTCTCATGGGCTTGGCTGCCATCCATGCCGATGAGCAGGTTGTCGGAGGAGTCTCTCAGTTGGAGGGAGACCGCAGGAAGGACGCCCTCACTCTCCTGGACGCTACCCTGACCCAGTTGGCCACCGGAGATGGTCCCAGCTACAAGTGAGATCCCCACATATGTCTAACATCTGACTGTAGCTTTACACTGATTTTTGTGTGCCTCTCGATTTCAGAGCAATTAATGTGACCTCTGTTACTGGTCAGACTGTTTCTGGAACCCTCAACACCTACGAGGTGGAGCTGGACAACGGATCCGACAAGAAGCAGTGCACCGTGAAGATCTGGTCCCAGCCCTGGCTGAAGGAGAACGGCACCAACATCAAGATCAAGTGCGCCGGTGACGATGGCGAGTTGGACCGCACCTGGTAAAGGTTGTTTTCACTAGACAGTCGTGTTTACGGCTTATAAAGAACTTATAAAGAAATTCCTAAGAAAAGGTTTCACTTGAAAATAAACAAGGCTCATGGCTGTAAAACCCCAACTTTTTAATGACCAAATTTTGTTTACTATACTTGGGGTTTTCAGAAACGTTGAATATAATAGTTACAAATTAGGTAGCTCCATTAAAAATTTGTTTCTATTATTCAGTGTTCAATTACTAAGTAATTGCAATATACTAATGATAAATATCGTTTTTAATTTTGGAATAAAAATCAGAACTTGTGGCTTTTAATGTATTTTCTTTGTTATCGTATTGCCTCTCTTACTCATCATATTTCTCATTTCCATTGTTATCTGAAACCATATAAGCTTTTACTTTACAAAAAGCTTCAGTAGTCGGTTCTCAATCGTCGAGACCGGAACATGAAAAGAGTAATATAGCATTACATTTCTTAGTGAATACTTCGTTAAATTTTGCTGCCATAGCCATGTCCACCGGATCAATTCCAGGTGGTATCACCCAGCTGGAGGGGGATAGGAAGAAGGAGGCCCTGGATCTCCTGAATGCCACCCTCACCCAGTTGGCCGCCGGAGATGGTCCCATCTACAAGTGAGTTAAGTCTATGTTGTGACTGGAACTTTTCTCAATATGTTGGGTACTCTCTTTGAAGGGTAATTAAAGTGATCTCCGTGACGGGTCAGGTTGTTGCTGGAACTCTCAACACCTACGAGGTTGAACTGGATAATGGATCCGTCAAAAAGCAGGCTACTGTTAAGATCTGGACTCAGCCCTGGCTGAAGGAGGACGGCACCAACATCAAGATCAAGATTGCCGGTGAAGATGGAGAGCTCGACCGCACTTTTTAAAATAATATAGGACTGAATATAACCTGTGAAATATGCATATGTTTGAGGTATCTACTCTATTCCTACGAAATACATAAGTATTGTATTACAGTTTACCTGAAAAGGTTTTCCTACTTTATTATCGGTCTTTAAAATGGTATGTATGTAGGGGTTTCTGCCCTACCTAGGGTGACTCCCCTATTCTTACACTCAAACTGGCCATGAAAAGGTTGGATTAGGGTTGAACAGATCCATAAAGTAGGTTAAAAAACAATGATACCTGCGAGTTCGTTATTGGTTAACCAGTTATATTGTCAGAACCAGTTTGTTTATTTATCTCAAATAGTAAATCGGGTTCTTATTCTCTCTCCACTATTGTGTGAATTCAACTAGTCAACGTCGATATCATTAGGTGGGGCGTTGGATGTTACAAAATATAATGCCCTCTGAGCTTTAATTACTTTGCGGTTTTCAATAGAGTTTGTTCTCTTAACACGAGAGAGCAAACTTTTCTATTGTTAATATAGTTTGTTAACTTATCAGCTCCACATCGTTCTACAATGGTTTTTGATAAGGCACGACTTTTGCAACATATATGTAACCCATTCGTTATTTGAAATCGCACCATACATGTGGGGCAAGTCCACCCAATAAAATAGACAAGTATAAGCTTTTTAATACTTTTATATTTTGATTTCCACTTTCATTTGTTAAATATAGTACACGACTTTTAATTATCGAAGCGTTATTCACTTTGTTGTGAGGTCATTTTTCGAACTGGTATTTTTATTGCTCAGCTCTGGAATTGCCCATATGTAATGTGTAAAATACTTACGATTTGTCGCAGATATCTGGACTTGTTTCCGCACACTCGTTTTGCAATTTTTTAAATAAATATAATGTATATCACAACGACGAAATAAAATAATTTTATTGATAATAATATTGTATATGTATGTTTTGGTTTTCATCCACCCTGATCAGAACTCAAAAGCTGACAAGTGGATCGACTGAAATTACCGTGGTAAAAAAGGTAACATTTTAAAAACGAGTTGACGTGTTGTGTATTTATTCTACTCTGAGTTCTTTGTGACTGTTGACACAAAGATCGCCTTAAATAAAGGCATTACCGTGCGGTGATGATGAATCGAAGTCGAAACCACTCCTGACCTGGGCAAATAAGTAAAATTAAATCTTATAACCGCAGTCAAGACCCAAAGCAAATTAAAGTAGAAGGCAATAAACTAAAATTAAGTAAAAAAGATGCTAGACGGGCCGCTTTATTGTCGCCGGGTTCAGGTTTAAATGCACACTAGCTTCTCTCGTTCCTTAGCGGCCGGTTGGTGCTAATCGCGAATAAATAAAGAAATATTCTCGCCAAATTCTCCGACAATATCGGTTTCCTATAAAAGCGATCTCTAAGCGCCGTGTTTACTCAGTTTGAAAAAAGTGTTTCGACGAAAATGCAGGCCGTGAAAGTGATCTTTGTTCTGAGTTTGACCCTGGCCGTTGCCTTCGGTGTGAGTTTTAACTGATTTTTATACCTAAAGTTTGAATTATTTTAATAATAATAATTGTGTGTAGCAGAGGAGAACATTAGGTGCTCCAAAACCCCTAGAAGGAGATGATCTGGCAAAGGCAAAGGATCTTCTGACCACCACCCTCACCAAACTTGCCGCAGGAGATGGTCCCAAATACGAGTAAGAATACATAATTTTCAATTTTCTTTTAGAGAGTGATGAAAACAACATTGTAGATGTTGGTGATGGTGATATCATATTGCAAAAAGCAGAGGTCTGCTACTAAGATTTTGTGAGAACTGTGAAGTGTTTTAGATAAAATAAAATGCAAAATACATGGTATACATTTTCATGGTAATCCCAAATTTAAAAAATATTTTATACTTAACGAATATAACCATGATTTTTTGGAATTATAATTTTAAAATCTTATTAATTCCAGAGTGGTGAATGTGACATCTGCAACTAGCCAACTGGTGGCTGGTTCTCTGTACAAATTCGAGGTGGAACTGTCCAACGGATCTGACAACAAGGAGTGTACCGTGAAGATCTGGGACAGACCATGGCTGCTGGAAAAGGGTGAAAGCACCAATATTAAGATCCAGTGCAAGGATGAAGCTGAGATTGACACCACCTGGTAGTCCGAGTTCCTTGGTTTTAGTCAAATAATTGTCATATAACTTGTTATTTCCAAAAAAGTTGGCCAATGAATCTTCCAGATATATTATATATTTCGGTGAATCCCTGAAAAATTTACATTTATATAATAAACAAACTTTGATCTGTGATAAATAATTTCTACTGATTGTGGACTAACCTGTTTTAGTGGGTATAAAACAGGAATTATTATGACTTCTACATTTCAATAGGTCAAAGGAAATAAAATGCTTTAATGGACAATCAAGTTTTGCATTAAAATGAGTTTATTAAACTGACGAGTCTGTGTGCATAAGTGATAGAAAATCTAATCCGAAACATTTCAATATCAAAGTTCAAGTGAAATGAAAATTTGAATTGAAAACTTGGATGTATTCATATGACTGGCAAGGTTAAGATTGTTTTCAGATGTCATATCACCAGCTGTCTTTATGGATCACTTATAGAGCAAGTGGGATATGAAACAATTCAGAATAGTTGTTTTCAGAAAAACTGAACTTAAGACTTTTTAGGAATTCCTTTTTTTAATGCTTTTTTTCTTTGAGTAAATTAATAAACCCAATTATGACCGCTCAGCCGTTCCTGGTGATTCTATTGTTCCTGCGGTTCCGGCGGTTCCTCCTGCGTTGATTTTGACGGCGACGTTGACGTCGTGCCCGCTGGCGACGTTGGCGGTTTCGGCGGTTACTAGCATTCCTATTGTTATTGCTTCCTGTCACAGGACTTGTGGCAACACCCGCTGAGGGAGAGGTACTGCCTCCAGTCGACGGAGAAGTGTTATCATCAGTGGGAGTGGTGCTGCCATCTGTTGGTGAGGTGCTGCCATCAGTTGGGGTAGTGCTGCCATCAGTTGGGGTGGTGCTCCCATCAGTGGGGGTGGTGCTGCCATCAGTGGGAGTGGTGCTGCCATCAGTAGGGGTGGTGCTGCCATCTGTGGGAGTAGTGCTGCCATCAGTTGGGGTGGTGCTGCCATCAGTTGGAGTGGTGCTGCCATCAGTAGGAGTAGTGCTGCCATCAGTGGGAGTGGTGCTTCCATCAGTGGGGGTGGCGCTGCCATCAGTGGGGGTGGTGCTGCCATCAGTTGGAGTGGTCGGATCATCAGCCCCATTGCTGTAGCTCGAAAAGCAGAGAACCAAGAGGCCCAGGCCCAAAAGCAGAGTGGTTGTCCGCATAGTTGATATCAGTTCAAACGGATGAGTTGGGATGATAATCTTTGCATCTTCAGCGATGGCTTTTATACCACTTGTACAGTTCATGGATCTTTTGTGAGGACGGTCGACAGCTGCGCCAACAAATCGATAGAATGGCAATTTTCATATTGCCAAATATCTACAGCTGTCAAAATACCACGCAAGAAGTAGTACAAAAAGCTTTTAGCATCATTGTTATTCCATTCTTATTAAGAAGTTAGTTAGTTAAATACAAGCTGCATCACATCTTTTCGATCAGATATGCTATAGATCTGGGATGATATTGTCGTTGGTGGAAAGCTGGTTGGTAGGAAACAAGCCAGAGAGATTGTAAAGATTTCGTTGCTCGAATTTGGGCGCTATTCAAAAATATGTAATATTAAAATGCAATTGGAGTCAGTGTCATACTTAATTTATTTGAATAACAACCGTTAGAAAATAATAATACTTATGGTTAATGATGTTCTTAAAAAACCATTATGTGTGACGTACGCAGAGCTTAACTGGTTAGAGTTGTTTTCAATAACAAAAAAGCAAAAACCTAAAATAAAGACAACCAACGTAAGTACCTTTCCATTGCAATTGACGCATGCATTCCAATTTAAATGAAAAACTTGATTGGTAAATGGTACATTACAACAAAAAATTCAAGTGATAATTTTGTGAAGTATTCCCAACAATTTATTTAAGTGTGCAATGCTATAATTTAATCAACAATATATTTTTCTTCCCAATCGTTATTGCAAATAAGCAAATAATTTCTAAGAGCCAGCTGCGTAAATTTTGCAATAATCTTTGGCTGAAAAGCTGCGTGCCTATAAAAGCCCAATCCACCAGATGGTTGGCGCAACCCAAGATCAGACGTTCCAAGATGAGAGAAGCTATCATCCAATTCGTAATTCTCCTCCTGGCATCTGGCTTTTTACAAAGCTGCGAAACCGCCACAACAACCACAGTGGTGCCCACCACCACGAAGAACTTTACTATAAGCAATTTGCGATATACGAACATTCGTGCCATCCGCGTCAATGGAACCCGCCAAAGCAAAAACACCACCGGCACCACCCAAAGAAGGAAGAGTTTATATGACATTTTAGGAACTATTATTATCGGTTGGGAATCTGGCTTTTAATAAAATGCTGAGACAAAATTGTATGCCTTTCGGTTTTATTTAGGGAATATATCCTAAGAAATTATTTATGCAATGAGGTAATGCGAACTATGGGTTGTTGCTTATCTTCCTACGTTAATAACTTTAAGATTGTTGTAAAATTGTATTTTTTATTATTTTTATCTTTTCTTTCAGCCGAAAACATAGCATTCTTTTTGGCAATCGGTTGTAAGTCAATTTAATTTTGAGGAACGAAGTTCAGGCAAATATCTTTTGAGTATCAGTTCAAATTTTTGTCGAGCTACGCCTGAAGAGAAATTTATCTCCCCGACTTAAAACAAATTGCCCTTTTTCGAACTGTGTGAATGAAAACAATTACATTCCAGTAGGTAGATTTTTATGCTTTGAAGTAAATCAGTTGACCTTTAATATTTGACTATGAAGTTAAAATCTTAATCTTAAAATTTGGCTGGTACATTAGGGTTTGTAAAACATTGTGTTTTTCGTGAAGTTTAAGAAAATTTCATAATATATGTAAGGTATCAGTTATATCATAAATAAAACAATAATTTATATTTTCAAGTTTGTCGAATTTTATTCATATGATTGAAAGTCATTTACATTTTTAACCAACCCGAACACGAATGTTTCCCCGATTATTTCTGGAGTTTCCCCGATTATTTCTGGAGTTTCCCCGCCTGGAGTTGTTGTTCCTGCGGTTGGAGTTCCCTCTGGTGACCCGTCTTCCGTTGTTCCTGCCATTGCGATTGGTGGATGGGGATGAGGTGTTGTTGAGGCGGATGCGACGAGTGACGGAGTAGTTCAGGTCGCTTATGGTAACAATCTTCCGGTTTCCGCCCGTGGAGATGGGCCTGGTGGTTGTGGCGTTAGCGGCTGCCTCGGCCACGCACTCCGCGTTGGTGGGATCGGTGGTGCAGTCGATGCATCCTACGACATTGGGGGCGGCGTTGCAGGTTACCGCATCGCTGCTCCTCAGAAGGCAGGCTGCCAGGACGAAGATGTTGAAGATAATAGTGGCTGATCTCATTGTGGATTTGCTGACTGGGGTTAGTTGATTGATGGTGGTGTCGTCTTTTCCAAAGGCTTTTATAGTGGGTCGATCGAGGTCGGGAGGCTCAACCTACCCAACGATTATTGGCAGAAGGTACGCAGCTGTTTCTACAAAAGTTCTAGATTGTTTGTTAAGAATTTGCCAACTATCGGTTTTTTTTTTAATTCTTCCATTTTACCAACAGTGCTTATGTCATTAGAAGAATAATACTAAACTGGCAAGCTTTCGTTGATAATAACCTTGAATACTGGTTATTATTAACTTTCTATTTTCAAGATGATAAGTGCCATCTGCGAATAGTTCTAACTTGCAGGTTGAAGGTTGAAAACATAGCTGTTCTATAGGTGTTCCTTTGTTTTTATTAGTTTTTACAGAGATTTTTAGGGATTAACACAGGCAAAGACCAGTTATCACCACTTCATAAACTAAACAGATATACAAAATATAAATTCTAAAATTCCCAACCCTTTAACTATAATAACAAGGCATATTTTTGGAATGCACTGTGGGATTTTATTGTTGTATAAATTGTCTTTTTTAAGATTAAAGTAATAACAATTCCATAAAATTAGCTTGCCATTTCAGACTTGTAAATGGTTTCGTAGTTGGAGATATTTCTTAGTCGGATCGTCGGTTCTGACGCCTTCGCTCTTGAGCTCTCCTTCTTTTTTCCTTCTTTTTGGCAGCCTTTCGTTTGGCCGCCTTTCTTTTGGCCGCCTTTCTTTTAGCCGCTTTTCTCTTAGCCGCCTTTCTCTTAGACGCCTTTTTGTTGTTAGTCGCAGTATCAGTATCAGTATTTGTTACCCCGGTTGAGGAGGTATCTTTGCTTAGAGCACTTGTTTCTGCCGAAGGAGACACCGATGAGGACTCAGTGGAGCTTGAAGATGTTGAACTGGAGGTGGGGCTGTTAGTGGTGGAAGAACTGGATGAACTGGAAGACGTGGAACTGGAGAGATCGGTGGCCGCCGTAGAACTAGAAACCGCCGTGGACGAAGTAGAACTGGAGCTAGAAACAGCCGTGGACGAGGTGGAACTGGAGACTTCTGTGGACGAGGATTCGGACGAACTTTGCACTGCAGAAGACGATGTGGAACTCGATGATCCTGAACCGTATGCCAACCCAAAAATGGTCAAGATTAACCAGCTCCATAATATGAAAACTCTCATTTTCGATTCTTTTTGCAATACGAATACTTGAACTTGTTCTGGACAATGATCCTCTGTTCCAGATGCATTGCGTTTTTATAGCTCCCTGATATTTATTTACTCTAGATCATCCCAATTAGCTACGAATTTATGCAGCTTGCCCTTTTGTTAGACACATAATAAATGCAATTTGGAGATATTTGCGTAGACTCGAGTGCAAATAAATGTGTTTTTGGCTGCAAATAAGCGTCAATTGAATGTAGCCGAAAACAACTCATTTGAGTGACAAATATTCATTTGAGTGCAAAATATGTTAATGAATAATTGGTGGCTTTGCGTGTGAGATTTACGTGATTTTATGAATCTCCAATTGTTTGCTAATGCATAGTTTTTATTTTGTATTTTCTAATTATCATGACGTCACATCTTACACCGAAGCGAAGCGAGAACAATGAACGAGAATATTTTATATTCATATTTCGCAATTGTATTTGCGATCCGCTGACCAGCTCCGATTTTTGAGTTAGTTTGCTTTTGGCTGATCAGCGAACGGTTGAGCCATGGATTTATATAGGTTTTTGCTGCTGTTCCTGGGATTTATTTTGATGTCTAACGTTGTGGTGAGCTTATATATTTGAATTTTTATATATATGTTACAACTTAAAAACCATTTACAGCTTGCAATATGCATCCCACCCAATCACTGCATTGAAGATGTGAGTATTATATTAATTTCGTTTTCTAACTTATGTTTTGTGTGGACCTCATATGCATATGATTGATATTTATATTCTGGTTTACAAATTTTGATGACTTTAATTCGATAAATTACATTATAATGTTAAATGCAAACAAATATTTTGTATCTATCCATTTACATTTTTTTTTTAATATCAAATTATTGCATCCCACATTTCTCAAATTCCAAATAAATTTACAAAGATTTTTTTAAAGGCCATATCAACTATAGGAAATTTTCAAAATGCTCTGTTTCACTCCTTTAAACTTATTTCCCCAGTTAATGAAATCTTTTTCGCCTAAATGAACCCAATTTTCAATCCCACAGATGGAGGACGCAGATGCCAAAGAGCGATTCGACTACGTACTGGGCAAATATGAGGAGCTGGAAATGAAAATTCCCGGAAAGCCAGTTGGGTGAGATGAGTTTTCGCGTGTGCCTGGTAATCCGCTAATTGGCTTTTCATTTGCCCCGCCGGCAGTTTGCATGGCAAAGTGGTTACGCATGGCGAGGCGGAGGAGCAGCACTTGGTGTTCCAGTACATGGACAACACGCTGCATGACATCATCCAGACGTGTGCGTTTGTGGTCAGCCGGACGCCCGGCGAGTGCGAGATCATCCGGACCTACTGCTCGGCCTTCCTGAGTCGCCTGCCACGCCCCCTGCTGGAGCGCCAGCCCATCGCCGTTTGTGAGGATGGGGTGCGGGTGGCGGAGGAGGAAGCGGAACCGGATGCGGAAGACATACCGGATGCGGATGCCCAGGCGGAGCAGGAACAGGGAGCTGGTCAAACGGAGACCACAACAGTGCAGCCAGCCAACTCCAAATTAAGAGAGTTCTACTGATGTGCAAGTTATCAAACAGGGGATTATCCCCTTCTGCATTTGACACCCACTTAATTTAGTTTGCATAAAGTGAGATTAACTCTCCTTTACAGGAAATTGGTTTTTGTGCGGACTTTTAATTAGATAGTTCTAAAAACGTTTAACGCTTCAGCACCGTACTTTGTGTTTTAGTACATTGATCCATAAATACTTTGTAAACAGACTAATATTTAATGTTTGCGATTATACTTATCTATTTTTTTGAAGAGTTGAGATATTTTAAAAATAATAATAATAATAAAAAAAACGTAACTTACATTTTACAAAATGAAAACATTATTTTTTAATATATTTGAGCGTTTCTTAGCTGATCAAAATTATATTTGTCCCTAGTTACTTACTGGTTATTTCGGGTAGTTAATGTTAAATTTGAAATCATCGCCTAAAAGTAGGCTTTTACATCTGTCTACTAACATTTCCCCTTGGCCACTCAATGTCACGGCATTCCAAGATTGAGTTAGGAAGCTCTGACAGCAACAACTATGCGGCTTTTAGCTCAACTCAACAACTGAAGGCCCAAAGACTAGACCAGGCCAAGTTCGGCGCCTGCGCCGATCCCACAGTGCACAGTGGGCAAAATATGAAAGATTTAAAAGGGTAATTTATGCAACTTACAGAGTTCTTATAACTGTATCTTACAACATCATAAATATAGTTAAATTTTTATATTGCGGTTAAATACAGCGAACCTGTATAAGTAAAGAGCACAGATTATCTTCCATATTATCAAAACGTATTATAACTTTTCAAAAAAATTTTGTTTTTTTTTTCCTAAGAATTGAGTGTTGAACATAAAGCATTGTAATTATTTGCAAATTATTTATTTATACCTTTAAAATTTTTCTGCTTTAAGAAAGCTGAAGAAAACCCCTCATAATCATAATTTCTTTTGAGAAAGTAACAACTTCATAGAACTTACCATCCCAACCACTTTATTACTTTGGGGCCACTGTGGGTCTCTCCAATGCGTGTGGGAACTCTCTTCCCCAAAAAGGCGAGAGCGAGAGAGTGGCTTGCGCCAAATAACAGTAAACAAAGCCCAGCTGCTTCAGCTGGCGGTACAATTTTAGTTTTCAGTTGTTAACGGGGCGCCAAGGCGAACTGGAGCAGCGAAAACGAAGCGCCAGAGCTGGGAAAAAGCTCCAAAAAGGCTGCAGACCCCCAAATCAGAGATAGAAAGAGAGAAAGAGGTGGAGAAAGAGAAAGAGAGATAGCAAGGGGCAGAGAGCGCAACAGAGAGAGAGAGCTATCGCTTATAAAGAGAGCCTCCCCGAGATATTTAGATTGTTATTTGGCGACAGTGACAGTCCCGCACAGAATTATCTGCTCAGTGCTAAAGTTGAACTCGCGCTGCGTAGCTCGTGTGGGCAAGAGGCAAGGCCGTTTCTCGACACGCCCACTGGCCACCCGCCACCCACCACCGCCCCCAGCCGCCTGCCGCCTGCCACGCCCCCCGCCAGCTGGGAGCAGCAGCTGCTTTTCAGTAGTGAAGTGGAAGTGTGCGTGCGCGTTTCGCGGCAACGGAATTGCCGCCGGTTGTAAAAAACGCACAGGATAAAAACGAATTAAAATACGTCGAGAATCCAGTCACTTTTGCATAATCCAAAAACGGGGAAAAGCTAAAATTTAAGCGGCGCGTAAATATACTATTTACTTTCTCGTGCAATCCATTCCAACCTCCCCCCCCCCGCGCTTTTATCAACGAACGTGTTATCAGCAAACGAAGCGCCACAAAAACACAGAAACGTACTAAAAGCAACAAAAAAACAAACAAAATATATATGTATAAAAACCAAAATGAAAAGAAAATGCATTTGAATGCGTGAGTGTGTGTTTAGGTGAGTATTAGCGCTACAATGGTGTGTGTGCTCGAGGGCCTGCGGCTCAGCTGAGTGCTGAGTAAACAAACAAAAACCAACCGAAGCCAAACACAGACCCCAGCACAAATACCACCACAAATACCATCACCTCTATACGTACAGGCACCCTCTCACCCCCCCACCCATCCGCACACACACACACACTCGCACGCAATTATTAGCGTTCCCCAAATCCCCCAGAAATGTGCGAATTATGAAATATTTTACCCTTGAATGTCATACGTATTAGAATTAGTAGCGGGGGGCTACAGAGCGTTACTTTTTAGCAACTTTGTAATACCCGTATATAGTGGGATCCAAGGGTATGCTCCGTTCCTATCTATGAAG